TCAGGTGCAGTGTCTTGATTCAGAGATTTTAAATCTCATAAACTGATGTCACATCATTGGTTTTCAAGCTTGAAGACTTAGCCTCTGCATATAGGTTTTCTGTTATCTGTGGTTAAAATGCAATAAATGTAGATAATTAAGCATTTATGTTAATAGACTTTCAAAAGGTGAATTGGAGGGATTGTTTGCCTGAGCTGATCTAACAGAGGGGAGGGTAGCTAATACTGCTGCATTTGGTCTGGCTCCGTTGGTTTTTCTTCTGTTATTGCTGTTAACCAATTTCAAAGTGGATGAAGCTGGAAGTTTGTAAATAGATTATTATCTGAAAGGCAATTTTACTTCACTGGAAATGACTTTATTATGTGGTGAAGAGTAAAAATGTAATTTGGACCCCTGTCCAGATGCTCTTAGTCTGGTAGCAGAGAATGGTTTTATTTGTTAATTTGTCCTTTTACAGTTTCTGTAGCCAGTCTTTAAATAGAGCAATTTAGCATTTGGGGGGAAAAACAAACCCTGCACCATCCAAGAATATAATTGAAAATTACCCCATATCCATGCACAATAATTACCTTTCAAAACACTTCCCATTGCTTGACATCATAGTGGTAATTGCTTAATGATATTATAATTCCATTACGTAGGGATTACAATGGCTCAAAATGATGTAAATTGGAGGCTTTGAAAATTAAGTTATAATGAAAACAAAACCCTTTATGCAAGTTTAAAGCACTTACTTCAATGTAAAATTATACATAATGTCACCCAATTTTTGCACGAGTGTCATTGTTGGTACAGTTTTAAAATTCATCCATTTGAAGCTTTAGTACTAAAAACCACAAAAACCCGCTTTAGTCCCGTGGTCATGACGCATGAGGTTCCAGCTCTACAGTGATATGTATTGGAACGAATGCATTTATATAGCCGTTATTGCTTCAGTCTGGATGCATTATGTAGCAAAACCCCTACTAATGAATTAGATCCACCTCGGTCCCTTTGCAGTTGGTGATAAAGACCCATGGCCCATTACAACTGTTATTTTCATCTTTGAAAGATTCCTGACTGGTCGTAAAATGTATTGAGTTTTCTAACTTAATAGCGCCAGCTTAAAATTTTATCTTTTTGGAAAGTACCAGCCCAGAGTGTGCTAAGCAATTAGATGACGTGCCGGAGGTCAGAATTTCCCTCAGTGTGTGGATGGAGTCTAAACAAAGCATCAGACAGCAGACCCCTGAGATATGTTGACTCGTGATCATTTACCTCAGTGATAGGTGGTTTTAACATTACACCGGATGGAAAAATTAGTTTTACTTTTTGAAAAATACATGATTTTTGGTGTAAGAACTCTTTTTATCTTAAGATGAATTTATTATAATGTACTTTGTAAAACTAGTTGGGGGCTTTGTGTTTTGTTCAAATCCACTATTTTTTTTTCTTTTGGTAGTAAAAAATCAAACAGGTGCAGTTTGGGGGTAGGAAATAAGATGTAAGCGAGCATACCCCTCTTGTGTCTAACTCATGTATCTTACATTTTTCATGATGACAGTTGTAACAACATTTATTGAGTATTCACTATGTGTGCGGAGTGCAACTGAGTATCTTACTTAGTTCCCCTAGGTACTGTCCCAGGCAGTATTACTGTCCTTATGTAGGGGAAAGCTAAGGCTGAAAGTGCTGAATTTTCCCAGTGTCCCACAGCTGTGAAGTGGTAGAAATGGGATTTGGATCCAGGTCTGTCTGACTCCATTATCCAAATGTCATACTGCCCCTCTCTATGAAGCCTTTTCTTAGGACTTTAACCTTTATCAATGTTCCTGTTCTGACTGACTAAAAAAATGTACAGCCTATACTTCATGATTTATTTCAATATTGTCATTATCCTTAACAGTAATAATAATGATCATTTATTGAACAACTACTATGTGCCCTGGGCTATGCATATTATCTAGTGTCCAGTTTAGCCTTCCACAAAATCCTATGAAATAGGCCTTGTTATTCCCATTTGATAAATGAGGGAATGAGGATCCAGTGAGGCAAAGTAGCCTGTGAGTGCCCTAAAGTCAATTCGGGCAGTCAACAGCAAATCTCCCATCCGTCCCATCTGCCAATCCTAAGGCCCCTGGTGCTCTTGGCCACTCTGCAGTTGCAACTTCCAGTTACCCCATCACTAATCTTCAGTAGCTACTTTTGTTTCATGTGTGAATGTCCCATCCACACCTTGACATGGTACAGACTGAATAGATGTCATCACATAGCAGGCACACATTAGTTACTCATTGGTTCTGTTCTCTGAAGTAGCCCAAACAAGAAAGGGATGATGGATTGAATATCTGAAGATAAAGGACATGCACATCCTCCTTTTGATGTGCAGAAGTGACCTAAAGGGGGTCATCTTCCATGAGAAACTTGAAAAGCATTCTCAATCTCTCCTACTTAGATGGAGAAAGAAGGTGGAGGCAGGACCCTGGGGACCACTCTTAAGGTAACAATAGAAAGTAAAGGAAAAGCAGCCTGCCTTCTCTGATTTCCTGTTCTTAATTAGAAACCATGCAGGGCGCTCAGGTCAGCTACCACCATTAACGTGGCCATTAGCACAGTGCTGTCATACTTCAAGGACATAAGCCACTATAGCAAAGAATCCCAGAAACTCATCAAAGGCACCACAGGGATCATTGGATCTGGTCCCACCCTGTGCACAATAAAATCTCACACAAATGGCTGCCTCGGTCCCTGCTTCACCCTCTCCAGGATCCACATTCCACTTCCTGGTCAGCTCTATAGTGTGGAAAATTCTTCCTTCTGCTGAGCCAAAATCTGGCTCCTAGTAACTTGCCCCCGTTGATCCTCTTGTTTCCTTCTGGAACCCCACAGAATCTTCTTAACTTCTCTCTCACTTACCACCTTTTATCTACTTGAAGCCAGACAGGCTGCTGTAACCTCAGGCTTTGTCTTTTCCAGACGAAATAAGCCCAGATCTTGCCTCTGCCCTCCCACATGGACTCTCTTATCTTTGTGATTTTTGAAATATGAGAGATGAAATTTCTTTTGTTTCCAAACCTGAGGTTTTCAAATGGAGGACACATTTACAATTTTTTTACTCTCTTCCATGTTTAAATTCCCATAATGTAATAGCTCCCATTGAATGTGGCCACATCACCTTCTTAACAAAAGCATGGTGCCCATATGGCAGAAAGAAGATGGAACTGAGAGTGTGGAAGCCCAAGTTCATCCCTGACTCTGCCTCTGACTCACCAAGTGACCTCGGATGAGCTGGTGAACTCTGCAGACCCGGCTTCCCTTGTCCTTCAGATGGACACATTAACTTCTATTTCATTGGATCCAGAGCTTCTGCGAGGGCAAGTGCTTTCTTGGCCCTGGAGGGCTCCACCAGTTGAGATGTTAGCAAGCAAGGCAGAGGTCCTCATTCCTCCCAGGTAGCTCCACGTTTTACTCCACTGCTGGCACCATCTGCATAAGGAGTCGGCTGATTCCGTGTTTTGCCCAAGACAATGCACACTCCGTGAGAACAGGGCCTGCTTCTTAGACCGCCTCATCCCCAGCACCTCGTTCAGTGCCTGATGCAGGGACGATCATGTTATGTGTCTTTGGATGGTCAGAGGAATGGCTGCCGTAGAGTCTCAAACCCCCACTCCACCACCTGGGCCCCGCTCCTTGGGACTTAACTCCAGTTTGTCACTGCCCCGACAGCATCCATGCACCAGCTTGGTCTGATTTTGGCTGCAAAAGATGGAGTCCCACCACCTTCTCGTACTCTGGGCGGTGACACTTACTAGCACAGACTTTGTTTTCACAGTCATGCATTCATCCTTTCCCAAAACATCCAGTTTTGACTGAGCCTCCATTACATGCCAGCCCTGCCCCTTTTGAAAGTAACCCTGGTGAGCTCACAGCCCAAAGACTGGGTTTTCTCTGGTCCTGAGGAGCTTGTGCTAAGGAAGAGAGAGGAGTGCTGTCCTACTCACCTCTCCTCCCTGAGCCTGCTCGGATCCTCTCCAGCTCAGGGAGGTCTTGCCTCTGACTTCTGGGCTCTCATTACATGGTTTTCAGAAGCACTCGGGGGGCACTCACTTGCTGGTGATTGCATCAAGTGTACAAGTGCCTAGCACAACACTGGCACATATAAGGTGCTCAGGAAGCATCTTAGTAAAACAGCCTTTTTTTTTCATTCCATGCCATGTGTTGGAAACCAACCAAACCTGCTACTATAACAGGCAGCAGTGGGGCACCTGGGTGGCTCAGTCGGTTGAGCGTCTGGCTTTGGTTCAGGTCATGATTTCACAGTTCGTGAATTCAAGGCCCACGTGGGGCTCATTGCTGTCAGCGCAGAGCCCACTTTGGACCCTTTGTCTCCCCTCTCTCTGCTACTTTGCCACTTGTGTTCTCTCTCTTTCTCAAAAATAAACATTTAAAAAATAATAATAAAGAACAGGAGTTCCTCCAAACCATCTAATTGGCTGTCACAAGGGACGAACGTGAAGCCGTGTCCTTGTGACCAGCAAACTTGAAAGACCTTCCTACCACTAATAAAATTACTCATCACCCGACAATTTTCCATATGTGTTCCATACTAAACAACATTATCACTTTAATTCAGGCTTATTTGGTAGCATTTTTACGGTGCATCCACACAGCTCTGGCCCATGATGAAGTCTGGAACTGTCACCCCCAAGTCTTGACTCCCACCCATATATCCCTGATCCCTTTAGTCCCTCGGCCCTGCCGCTTTCTTGTCTCCCTCCCCGCCAGTTCTCCACGCTCAACTTTTCTTGTCCTTCACAGAGAAGCTGGTCAGTCTCACGCTGCAGTACTGAGTCCACAGGCCTGCAGTGCACTCCCACGGTTCAGGCCTTGCCATTCTGCCCACAGAAAGAGCATCTCCCGGGAGGGATGGAGGTTCCCTCCTCCTGGCCCTTCTGCCCTTTCAGTTCAGGAATTTCTGTCCATGCAGGCAGCTAACGTGTCTGTGGTTCCCGTCCCCATAGGTGAAGAAGATCCGAGCATGGAAGTGGAAGAGGACGAGGAAGTGCTGACTCTGCTCTATGACCCCTGTCTGAACTGTTACTTTGATCCCCAGACAGGGAAGTACTATGAGCTGGTGTGAGGCCTCCCTCCAGAGCCAAGATCCCCCAGCCTGCCTGGCGAGCAGGAGAGCGCTTGTGACTCCGCTGCGTGGGCACCACAGAGCCTGGCAGGCCCATGGAAACCAAAGTAACTGAGAGAAATAAAGTTATTCTGTAAATAACGTTCGACGTTAAGGATGCCTACGCTTTTGTTGTAGATGCGTGTGATCTTTTTGTCAGTGAAGCAATTAATACAGAGACAAGATTTTAGGACTTCAAATTGGTTCTTGTTTGTTCGTTCTCATCCTACATAGGATTTTTTTTTTATCTCCTATAATCGTATGGAAACAAATTAAGAGCTATTAATTCAAAATTTTTGCAGTGTTAATCTGTAAATGATGGCTTGATACACAGAAAATGTATTCTTGTTTAAAAGATATCTGGGTACCTTTTGTTTTATTACCTATTTGTATTAAAAATAAAGTATGATGGTCTTTTAAACTGCCTCCTTTTATTTACCTTGCATTTTTACCAGAATATTCCAAGATAATGTTTACCCTTCCCTTAGACTCTTAGAAGAGGAAACACTGTGCACTGGTCAGATTTTATGATCACATAAAGGTTCATCCAGAGTTTGCCAAAGATCACAACATTGTTAATCACGTAAGCTGCCTAGCTCTGTGCTGTGCTTTTTCTAAAAAATGTTTTTACCAATGATCTCTGAATTCTAATAATACTCAAATCTAGCTCCATGGATCCACATTTAAGAAGCCATCCATTTGAACACCCTACACACCTCACTGCTTCTGCGACTTGGCCTGGAGAAATGGAGGAAGCGATCACTATAACTTTACTTGCTGCGCCACAAGGCAAAAATCACGTGCTTCCTGAATTTGAGGAGATGGCCTCGAATTGTGTGCCAAGTATATTAATACTAAGCACAAGGAAGTACTTATATTAGCTGGAATATTTTGTTATTTAATAAAGATTTTTTAATAAAGAAGAGTACCTTTGGAAATGAAAAATTATTGGTGTACAATTGGATTTAACGGCAGTACTATAATTTCATTTAATGTTGCTTGATAGAGGAAATAAGAGCTCTTTATTCAGGAATAGATTCGGGCTCCTGTTCAAAGGATCATACATTATTTAAAACCATGTTTCTGTTTGATAAGCTTTTAATCCTATTGTTCACAAAGTATACCTTTGTTATGAATTTTTCTCCAAGATGTTCATACTTACAAAATGCAAACAAATAACTGAGGCTTCAGAAAGCATACAAGATGATAAAATAGTTCGGCTATCTTGGTTATGACCTTGAAGATTGGAGAACCTGGAGAGCCTTGATCCTGCTTTAGCCAGTTTCAAGACCATCCGCATAAATGGAGTCAATTAAAGGTCTGTGCCAGTTAAGACTTGTAGTTACAAATATCGAAAACACCATGAACTAACAATACTTAAGGATGCAAGAGTGCCTCATGAACCCCAAAACAGAATGCTACAAACCTCCATATTGATTTGAGCTACGACCTAAAAATCTGTGTTGGGATTCTTAAATTGCAAGCACCTTTGATCTCAGAATATAGAGACTTGTTGGTCAGGCCCCAGGAGGCACACAGGAATCCGGGCAGCTCCAGGGATCCTATAGTAGGAGCTAACCATTTCTCCCAACAATGGTCACAAAAATGGCAGTGCAGCTTTTTTTTGCCCTGAGTCTCTGCTCCAGGAGCAAGAGGCTAGTAGGCTTGTCTTGTCAGTTATCCCCAGGACCACATGGAATAGGAATGAGAGGCCCCTGAAGAAGAAGGCATTGTTAACAAAATTAGGAGGGATGTCAACCAAGCAAAAACAACAGATGTCTACTTTGGGAGTCTAGAAGCATTGCCTCTGACTTGTTTGCAAAACGAATTCTCTCTCCCCATAATTCTAAGCTACTGTTCACCTTCCAGAACATTCAGCCATTCCACAGCACATACATCCATCCACAAAGAAATATGAACTCTGCATTTCAATTCAAAAATCCCAGACTTGGTTATTAAAGTTGCCTGTTTGGTCCAATGGCCACCAGAACCCTCTGGTGTGGATGGAGAGAGGAAGGCAGCTAAAGAGTTTCTCATGAACCAAGTGGACACTCCAAAATGTATCTGCCACAAACTGTTAGTATCCAATTTTTACATTTTATTTGTCCTTTTTTAAAGGAGCAGCTTCATTTCTGTTGAGGTGGGTTTTATGCTCCAGAAAAGTTGAAGAGTTGAAAAATAAAAACAGATGGGCTTCATGCTGCCAATTTTGAACCAAAATGGTACAGCCAGTTAACTTGGAAATTCACTGACTGGACTATACTGCTTCACTGGTCATCAAATTTTGCTACACATTAGAATCTCCTGGGAAGTTTATAAAAATTTTGAGGCCTCACCACCACCAGTGAGTCTGATTTGATTGGTCACAAGTGCAACCTGGGCATTGGAAATTTTTAAAGCCTCCTCTGGCAAGTCTAATGTGTCATAATGCTTGAGAAGATCAGATCCAGCATGAAGAGAGGGCGGAAGTTTTGCCTGATGGCAGACGTATCAATGGGGAAGAATCCATTAATTTCCATTTTCAAGACCTTGATCTCTACCTTTCTAATCAACTGTGTACTGAGCATTATATCTGAAAATGACTATTACAAAGGGATCCTGAGAAAACAGTTTTATTCACTATGAAAATACATCCTAAGATAATTTGATACAAGTTTGGGGACTGACTCAGTTTGTTTCATATAATTTGGGATGCAACTTGCAAGCAACTTTAAGTCTTCAGTCTCTAAATTATTATTTAATTACAGAGCCCAGGTAATGAGAATTATGGAAAAACAACAGTCAGCTAATAACTGGCATCAGATCGATGATTTAGCTTCCCTGGTGATGATAACTTCTCTCTCCAATTAATTTTATTTTATTTTATATTAAAGGAAAACACTGGCATATCCAAATGCATAGACACTTTTGCATAATAATTTGCCCTGTTGTATTTTTCCATATTTTTAGATTAGCTTCATTTTAAATCAGTCATTTCAATCACATCTTGATTTTTTTTGAAGAGCAAACTGTGCTTAATAACCAAGAATAGTGCAATCACAGATTGTACAACCTGAAGGACGATTAATTAAAAGAACTAATTTTAAATTTGCCCTTTGGCTTTAATTAAAGATTGAGCTGCTGAAAGTCTCTGGACTGGTTGGTTTTTTGGCGGGGGGGAGATGGGGGTGGAAACTGTTGAATGACAGTGAGTACAGTACTAAAACTAGCTTTAGCCCAGGTTGTCCTGTGACTCTTAACCTTCAATCACAACACCCAGAATAAGAAGGAATAGGAATCATCTATCCACATATGGTTGTACTATAGATTTCTATTTCATACATGGTTCCTTTTGCACTCCAGAAAAGTTGGTCATGGAGAGAATCCAAGCAAATCCTATCTTCTCTTTTTCTCCCATTATAATAGTTGAGGTAGAATCATCTAATTGGGCCTAGATAGAATAATCAAGATTATTTCCTTATTTTTTTTAATGTTTATTTTTTTTATTTTTTGAGAGAGAGTGAGAGAGCACAGCAGGAGAGGAAAAGAGGGACAGAAAGAGAGAGAGAAAGAGAGAGAGAGAGACTCCCAAGCTGACTCCAACTGTCAGTGCAGATCCCAGCACTGTGGGACTTGAACTCACGAAACTGCAAGATAGTGACCTGAGCCAAAATCAAGAGTTGGACGCTTAACAGACTGTGCCATCCAGGCGCCCCTGAGATGATTTCTTTAAACTCTGATTTTATGATGGAGAGAAGTGAGACTCAGATTGAGAAGTTAATTATCCAGAGACACTCAGTTGCAGAAGGGAGAATGGAATCTATGACTCCTCACTTCCAACCCAATTCTATTTCCACCCTGAGGGAATTAAGATGAGGATTCAAATGACAGAGTGAGATGAACATCACAGACTATACAGTGGGCCCTAGTGCTCTCTGGCAACCGAAGCTTGCGCTCTCTGGTCTCATCTCTTTTGCTCTGTGCAGATCCTTTCTTCCCTCCATTGTCAGCCTTTATACTTCAAGGATCAGCATTTCCCAAAGTGTGTTTCAAGAAATAAATTCCATTCAATGTTAATAAACTTTATGGGCTTGAGGAAGAAGCCCATGGTCAAACACTGTTGGATAATACTATCCAATGCTAAAGAAGCAGAAATGGTCATTTGTCTTAACTGGAGAAGTTCTCAATGGCTTTAATAAATTAACATGCAGGGGGAATGTCCAAGGAGTAGAATAGGTAGCACTTCTCAAATTTCTTTGTCCTCAGAACCCTTTTGCGGTAGAGTATCTGAAGAGGTTTATCTACCCACAGAACCTCCTTTGTGAAATGCTGCAAAAGATCACCTCTCCACCTCTCCAGGCCTGTGATCCCTGACCTCCAACACAATGCCCAGAAATGTATCTCCCAGAGTTGGTGGGTTGGTTGGTAGAGTGTGTGTGTGTTGTTTGGTGGTAGCAGTGGGTTTTTTGTTTTTTGTTTCTGTTTTGCGCCGATATTTCATACAGATCCCTGACCACACTATAGGATTTTTTTTTTATTTTAAAAATTTCTTAATGTTTATTTATTTTTGAGAGAGACAGAGCAAGAGTGGGGGAGAGGCAGAGAGAGACACACACAGAACCCCAAGCAGGCTCTGTGCTGTCAGCACAGACGCGGGGCTTGAACCCACGAACGGTGAGATCATTACCTGAGCCAAAGTCAGACACTTAACCAACTGAGCCATCCAGGCACCCCACACAATAGGATTATTCTTGACACTCACTTTTTATCTAAAACAAGGTATGCTGACGCCTGAACTTTGTTTAAGTCAGAAACTTTGGTCACCTAAGATGAAGAAATTTTCTTTCTCATGTTTTAAATTATACAAAGTTATAACCATAGGTAATACAGTTAACTTACGACAAAGGCTAAATCTAAGTTAAAGTCCATTCATCATGAATATTGGAGCTCTACATCTTAATGAATATTTTGGTTCTGGTTTG